AATGGTTTTGATGTTTATTCCAATTTTTAGTAAAGCAACAGGTTAAAAATTTGTCACTTACCTATCATTCTTTTGGTTAGATTCATTGAGATCTTGGCCTTCGCAGATCAAGCAGGCTTGTATTTTCTTATCATAAATCTGTCTTAACAGTGAACGACAACAATTATCTTATCATCTGGGTTTTATAAGGAAATCAATGCCTGTTCAGTTTCGTCTACGCGCCGTGTATATAGTTGTAGGTTAAATTGGGTATTTAGGATGTTATATCATATTTGGGAATGGAAATTGATTCGTTTTTCTTTATATTTAGTTTTCTTTTATTTTAATTGAATTGCGCGTGCTCTATGCCTAAGAAAAGAATGACACGGCTTTACTAAATTTGGCTCTCAAAAACGCACGCGTTAAACACTGAAGAGGGTACCGGCAAGTCCTGACACTTCCTGCCGACAAGCAGTACCAGTTGCCAAAAATACTTCGTCTGCTTCGTGTGGTTCGAGAAAATAGACCCGCGGTTTTTCTTTGCCGCGACCGGTTAAATCAAGACGGTTTCGTTGCGCTCCTACGCATGGGACTTAAACTTCCTGAATGAGCTGGCTTGCAGAGTGGAGTTTGGAAGTAGAGAAAGGTGAGGTGAAAAAATATCCTTCTCAATTTCGATATCTTTCAATTTCATTTTGAAATCTTTCATCGATCACCATTCTATCAGCAACCTGTGAATTTTCCAGTTCTAATTTCGCACAATGCCCCAGATATTTTGATTTGTTTTGTTTTGATTTGGTCTGTCAAATCAAGTCAGGTGGCTTTAGATGGGAGCTTCAACTCGATTTTTGGTCGAATGCGTGCCGGTTGTCTCGAGACTTGAAAGTAGTACCCCGAATTCAAGGTGATTTCTTTTGTGACCTCGAATGCACCGTGGTTCCTGTTGTGATTTGCAGCTGCATGGTCAATGCATAATTTGGGGGTTACGTTGTGAAATATGGAATATGCTATTTTTTTTAAAGGGATTTTCTGTGGCGTGATTGGAAAGGAAGAATCATTGTAATTATGGCCGCCTTGCCACTTCCGGCATTCTGGAAATTTCGAGGAACCTCATGGGACACCAAGTCTCCATTTTGTGTCAGTTGTTGAGTGGATTTTGGGTAGAAAAGTTGCACCGTGGTCCGAAGATTTTTTTTAGCCAAGAAGTTGGACTTTGGTATTTGCATTTGAAGATTCTGGCACCCTGTAGGAGTTCGGTACTGCATTAGTGGACATTTCCTGTGTAAACTTTGGCGGAATCACTGCAAAGGAGGATTGAAACGCAACTCTACCCACCACTCATCACATTCTTTTTCGAGCCGCAAAATCTAAGCTCACAACTACCCCAACACTCAACGTTGGCTGGAAGCTCTAAGATCTGTGGTGAGTTTGTTTTGTCTTTCTTTGTTTCTCGTTTTGTTTTCATTTTTATGTTTTCCGTTTAGTTTCATTGATCTAGTGATTAACCTGGAGGTTCATCATCTGGAAGTGAGGACATTTCTTTAGAAGAAATTTCTTGATGATTCAAGACACTAAGACACATAACTTTTAAGTGTCTTTCTTACCACTGCGTATACAGATCAATTTCATTCTACATTTACGAGCAATATGCTCAAATTTTAAACATAAGTGACAGAATACATTCTTAGTGAAAATTTCGATCTTCTTAGGGATAGCCAAGACAATGCTTCATCGGCAGCGTGTGTATTTTTACAGAACATACACTTCACATAATTTCTGTTCAAAAGTTTATCTCCAGTAAATGGTCTTCATCTTTGGTACGTTTTCATCGAACTTGTATTTCTTGCCAGCGTAATGCGGACTTCATTTTCGACTTCTTTTTTAAGGAAACGCATCAACTTATGCAGACGATCCTTGAGATTCAAGTCATCAGCATAACTAGAACTTCTCTTGCAAGCTCGAATGAGTTCAGCATCAAGACATGACTCGACCAAAGGATACAGGACATACGTAGTCGTGACTCAATAATATCATAGAACGAAAAAAGAGGATGTTTTCTGTTTATATTAGCTAGAACCAACTTTAAAAGTTCCCTCACGTAGAACCAGAACCAGAAAATCTTGACGTTTGAAACGTATTTTTAAACTTTGAACTACTTTTGGATAGTTTCCAGCCATAGCAAGCTTTCTAACAAAACACGAGCAAGAGAATTTGGGAGAGTCGACTGCAGAAGATACTGAAATTTGATTTCATCTTGTGTTTCCAACTCTTCGTCTATCCTACGAAACTGGCTCCAGAATGGTAACCATTCCTTCAGATCTCCGCTAAATTTTTTAAATTTAATTAGAGGTACTTCTATGTGTCGTGAAGTGCTAGTACTACTAGACTTAACCTCTTCCTGAAGACTAGTAGAATTATGATCGTCAGAAAATCAACCAAAAGCTGGCTTAATTCTACGATGCTTGTTATTTTTCCTTCTACAACTCGTATACAACTTTGTATCTCTAACATGTCAGCCTTTCCATCATTCAACATATTCCTCACATCGTCGAAAATGCTTTTAAATGCAATTTTGTTCAACTGAAGGGCTTCGTGTTCTATATTTCAGCAAAAGAGTCGTGTCAAGGTAGACAAATGACAAATCTCCCAAATAGCTACTTAATGACTCCGGATACTCAAAGGCACTGGCTATTCACAGACGCTCGCAGAATACATTCGAACTTTTATTTTATAACACTGAATCACTCTAAAATATCTTTCTTTCAGAAGCTAATGGGCTAGTTGCCTTTTCTAGAGCTTCTGCAATAAGATTTCCTGAGGTTCTCTTCAGAACTACTATGTATGCATTGATTTCCTTCTTCCGATGTTTTTTCAGAATTTAACCAAAATGTTTTTGAAGTTATGCTTGTAGTTAATTTGCTATTCAGCAACTTTCCCAAAAAAACTACAAGGATCGTTCCTTCCAAAACTCTCGACTTTTTAATCACAAAAATAACTGAATAATTATTCTTCTCCTAACTGATATTTGATAAATTGGCACAAATCAAGAAACCTTGCGTTTCAAACGGTTCGACATCAAAAAACGAGCATTACATTTCCATTATCCGCAATTCAATTAAGCTTGAGACCCATTTATGTTCACATATAATTATAATTAAACTTGTTTGCGTATAATGTATCACAAAACAACGTAACAAACCACCGTGTCGAGTTGTTGGGCGATAAAGGATAAACACGCAACGTAACAGAAGCACGTTTTGAGTTTTACCTGGACGCGAGAAAGTTTATATGGAAGCTCGACTTCTTGCCACCGAGAAAATTTAATTAATTTTGCAACCCATCGTCGATTTGTAAATACGATCGAATCACGTAAAGGTTAATATTTGCACCAAAATGTGTTTCTAATTTGAGCTGGCGTACTGTTTTTGAATAATTAGTCACGTCAAAACTCGACAAGGATCTCGTCCTCGATATACAGGCTTGCAAATAATAATTAGACAATATCAATTAACATTTGGCTAAATAATTGAAAAGCCCCCCAAGCCAATAAATTGACGGGATCGTGCGACAAACTGGAGGGGACAATTTATTATTTAAACGAATTAAGCTCGACTATTGCGAAATGGTTTACTGATAGCATTCGGAGTAATCTCAAGCGTAATTCAATTATAAGTTGTTGGGGTTTGTTTGGACAATTAAAAGATTGACGAACTTCCTTTTCATATTTATATTTCAATTAATCCAGGCAAGAAATATTACATCTTATTTTATCAATCAAGTACTTCTACTGTATATAAAAACTAGGTTTATCAATTCAACTTATTGTCGCAACATCATTCGTTAGCTTCAATTAATCAGCATCGTCCAAAAACAGCACAGACCAAAATAAATTCCCGAAAACGATTTCGACGTAAAAATGCGCTGCCGTTGTCAATTAACGCACAAAACTGAAGCGTCGACGTGCCACGATTACGTTTTACAATAACAACGATTAACGCTGGAAAGAGCGGGGCTTTAAATGGCGATTTTTACTAAAGCGGCATTACTAGACAAAAGCACGTTGCGACAACATCAACGGATTATTGGCGATTTATCAAAACGAAAAAATTTGGCTAGGATTATGTAAGCGGAATAGTTCCACACTACATGTAATTTAACTTTAATATAACGTATTACACTTCTTCGTTTTGTTCATAACGTATGAGGTAACGACAGGCACTTTATCACTATATATACTGGTACATTTTAACTTATTATTTATTTCCTACTCAGAGCTCAACAAGTAGTTTTTCTTATGCTGTAGGATCCAGTTCTTGTTGGTATACCTCAACTAGGTCAATTTGCGATAGCAGTCTGTGTTTTATTGTAAAAACTATATGATTTGTCCAGTGGTCTCCGTCTTGTTCAATTTCAATACAATAAAAATGTATTTACAATCTTGCAGCAAGGAGGGAGGCGGTTCAAATGTGTTTTCACTACTAAGTTAAAAAGCAAAACTTTAACAACCTTTCGGGTTTACGGGCGGGGGCGGGCGCCCTCTCCTTACGATCGAAAAATAAAAAAATAAACAAGCACTAGAGGGGTCGTAAATATTTCCTTTAAGCAGCGTTTCACGTCGAGAATCGTAACTCACAAATTTAATTACTTGTTAGGGGCAATGATTTTTGCTGTCAGTATGGTTGGAACTCATGCAAAGTGGAGAGGTCACCAACAGTGGCGTACAAGATACCCAGCTTACAGATTACCTATTCATTTTCTTTAACACTAATTAGTCGAATGTATAATACACAAAGTCGTCTGGAGTCTAATTACATTAGAGGCGGTTTGTCAACACCGAAAAACGAAAATATAATATACTATAAGGGCGTAAGCTTTAAGCAATTTGTTAAAGTGCAAAGCCAAAGAAACGTGAGATTAGGATCGGGAGGTCGTAAATTACCGTTATTAATGTCTCCCACGGTCGCCGTTCGCATTATAATTAATTTCCAAGTTATAATTTTATTTTTTCAGAGGTAACTTACCTGTTGTTTAGTGATGTAGATGGGTTTGTTTAAAATCAGCCACGTGACCGTTTCGTAACACGCCGGCATCGTGGTAGAACCGTCGTACGTCATGTAGTACTCGGTTTGAGGCAACAGTCCCCTGACCGAGAGTCTCTTGATTTCGACTTCGTCGCCGCCGTACCGAATTTTGTCTAGTTGATCGGTTAATATTCGGAGTTCCGGATTTGACAGGTCTCCCAACTGAAAATTGAAATAAAAGAGGAGATTATTTGATGATTTGATGACTTTTGTAAAAGGATTGAGTTTGAAAATTGAGATTTTAGTCTTAAATTTGTCAATATATTAGTTATATGAATTATTAGTTTCCGACTTCACTTTCTCATTCTTATCCAAGTAAATGTAGCATAGAAAAAATGCCTAGTATCCATCAAATTGAAATGGCTAAGAACGATATATGCAAAACTGCTTTCACTGTCAAAAATGGCCATTACGAGTATGTTTGGATGCCGTTTGGATGCCGTTTGGACTAAAAAACGCACCAGCTACGTTCCAAAGGGTATCGGATAACGTTTTGATAATCATTTCGTAGATATAAGGAAGCTGGATTTCGGAGTAGTGTTCGAGCATCTCCTTAACGGTCCATTTCAGTTCGTCGGGTTTGATAAGAGAGTTATGCAAGGTGTTTGTTTTTTTAAATATTATAGCTACCTTGAGTATTTGCAAGATGACTTGGAGAGCTAAGTTCAGGTGATCTAAGATATGTTGGACTAGCTTGTAGAAAATGGGTAAAGTCGAACATGAATTAACCTAATTCGCTTTTTTTTATAGTTTCTTCGTTGTGAGTTATTAGGGAGATTGTGTGATTGAAGTTTTCCATTATTTTGGTGTTAAGATTCATCCGCTGATATTCTCTTGGCTATGTTGCAATGTTGCAATTGCAGCGTTGTACCTTTGGGCGTCTTCGTGATCCAGGTTTCCAAATAATGTTTCAATAACACTGCCGAGATCATTAAAAATTCCTCTTCTGTATCTTTGAATAGGTATGATGGTACGAAGTTTTTCTTTGGCGGCTTTTAACAGAAACTGTAAACTTTGATCAAAATTTTGCAGGCTTTTGAAGTATGGGTGACTCAGTCCATTTTCTGTTGCTGTTCTTACTAATTCGTATTGTTCTTTCAGAGACTGAAGTTCCTTAATTAGTGGGAACAGGTCCAAGAAGTGAATGAAGTCATGGGTATTACTCTGAATTCTTGCTCGTCCAAGTTTGAGGGAAGGTATTCCTGGGTTGTCTTTCAGGTCCTGAATCAAGAGGTTCTGAGCGACGGTTGTAATGAATTTCTAGAGTTATTTCCTGGAATGTTTTCAATATGATTTTTCTATATTGTCAGTGTTAACTGTCTTGGGAAAGAATCTTGGAAGTAGTTTGTTCCGCTTTACAGTTTTCCTAGTGTAGATCTTCGTGCTAGGTATGTAGGTGAGGGGGGTTTGCCTGGTTATGTTTCTTCTGCCTATGAACTTTTCTTTGGATTCATGTAGCTTTTGATTCAATTTCCTGTAGATAGTCTTAGTTTTTTCCCTGTATTGCTGGGTATAATTATTTAAAAGTGTTTTCCTGATGTCAACGTCAAACGGATCCTGCGCATCCAGGTGACCAGTCAATATATTCATTGGTGGCATGTTTTTCATTGGATGGATAGAATTTTTGTATATGCATATGGCATTTGTTTTTTATCGCTTAAGGATTTTTCATAATCTCGAAGTACCCTCAGGCGTTCGATAATGGCGGAGTGCAATCTTTCTATCATCCCGTTGGATTGTGGGTTATCAGGGGTAGTATAATGGATGGATATCTAATGTGTATCTACAAATTCCTGTATAAGTCCATTCCTAAATTCTGTTCCAGTATCGGTGACTATTATTTGTGGTATTCCACTTCCTGAGCAGTGAGTCTAGTTTCGTTATCTTCTTCCAAGTAGGCTTGTGTGGGTTCTATATTATCTCTTCCAGCTTCAAGCGCCATCTAACTATTCTGGAATTATTGTCTTCCATGGAAAAAATCCATTGGAGAGGACGGTGATCTAAAAGTATCTTGAACTTTCTTCCAAGCAAGTAGGGTCTGAAGTACTTGGTGGCCCAGATTATGGCTAACATTTCGTTTTCAATGGTGGAATATTTCAACTCGGTTTCGTTGAGTGTTCTAGAGGCGTATGCAATGGGTTCTTGGGATGGTATATCTCCAATTGCATTGTTACTAGCATCAGTAATTAGATTAAAAGATTTGCTGAAGTCTGGATATTGCTGAAGAGGTTGATTTGTAAGTAAAAGTTCTAATGCATTTCAAAAATTCTGGTGCTAGTTCTTTTTTTGCGTCCTTTTTGAGGCAGGAAGTTGGAGTTCTTGATACACTTCCTGTAATATCCGAGGAGGCCTAGAAATCCTCGGATATCCTTTGTGGTTCACGGTATTGGAAAGTCAAGTATGGCTTTAATTTTAGACGGATTTGGTCTTATTCCTTCTGGTGTAACAATATGTCCAAGAAAGGCAAATTCCTTTTTTAGGAACTCACATTTAAAACGTTGAATGATTTTTGAAAGATGTTGCTTTTCAAGTGATGTGTTGAACACAGTGATATCGTCCATGTGTACACTAAGTAATTTTCTCCTTGAAGTCCTTTCAAAACGTTATCCAATACCCTGTGGAACGTAGCTGGAGCGTTTTTCAGTCCAAATGGCATCCGGACATATTCGTAATGGCCATTTTCGATATTGAAAGTTGTTTTGCATCTATTTTTCTTAGCCATTTCGATTTGGGAGGCGTCTGGTTTTTTTGAAACTATCCATATCGGGGTAGACTAAGGTGACTGGCTTGGTCTGATAATTCCTTGATCCAACAAGGAAGATATTTGGGTTTTCACTTCCTCTTTATGGATATGTGGATATCTATATGACTTGGTGTACTCTGGAATCTCATCTTTCGTTTTAATATGGTGTTTGATCTGGTCTGTAAAGGTCAGGGACATGTCTGGATAATGAAAAATGTCTGCATACTTGCTACATAAATTTTCCGAAAGTTTGGATCCTGTGAGCTTCATCTAATCATGTAGCGCAAATTGAATTTTTTGAAAACAGATTTTTCTCTGATGCACATTTCATAGGAGGTGACATACACGTCCCATTCACCTGACATTAGAACGTCTCTAATTAGAGCATTCTGGAACTTTCATTGTAGTCTAGGAGGCAGTGAAGATTTTCGGCACTTATTTTCCCAGTCAGACAACATGGATAGAATTGTAGGGTTAGTAATTCTAAGCAAAATTCATACATGTGTCCGTAAAGTAACGGATAAATTCATTATTTTGAAAACGGTGGAGTTTTTGAAAAATCGCTCAGACACGTCAATTTTTATTTTTTTTTTGAAATTTTTTGATATATTTTTCATTATACAGGGTGTCCCAAAAATAGCTCCGCTGCTATCAACTTTGTCTTTTCAAATGGATCATCCTGTATATTATAAAATTTATGGATTCTGCGGACAATTTTTGACATATTTCATGTACAATGTCATATACCTATCTTCAACTGTTTCGCAAATATTGACAGTTGAAAATTGATTTTTTTGCAACTTTGACAGGCTGTAAAACCTGAATGGTTAATTTTAGAGGAAAACCGATTTTACATTCCTATCTTAGATTTTCATAGACTATCATTTCACACCAACTTTGAATTTACCCGGACATTAAATTTTACCGGAATTTTTAATCACGGATTAATGATAGTCTATGAATATGAATAGAGACAGGTTTAGACGTTGAGCTGTTAAAATAACAGAAGATACATCATAAGCCCGATTGTCTCAAAAACACTTTCTCACTGGGGATACTATCACAGAAATAGGAGACAACTTGTGACTGTAGGAAAGGTGCCATCTGCGAAAAGTAAATCCAACATAGAGGTTTCCCAGGGCTCTGTCCTGAAATCCCATAAGTTTTCTAATATAACAAACTTTAAGTATCAAAGTATTGGTTATGAGTTCAACAAAAGACACTGCTGGTTGAAGTTATTCTAACATCATTTATGAAGTCGGTGAGAAGCTTTCCCAATTGAAATTTTGAACAATTTCAATGTTGTGATCTCAAAAATCGCACCAATTTCCATATTAAGCTCTATTTTGTCATCACACTCTCAGCTCCAGGTACCAAAACTATTTACATCATCTTGAAGCATATGGCAAACATCTAGAGTAATTATACTTTCTTGTTCATTCAAACATTCCACAAGTTTCAAGTTCCAAAAGTAATTTCTATGAAAACACGTCAAAACCTTTGAAAATTAAGCAAAAATATATTCTTAAAATTATCTTTAAGAAGAGTAAAATGTTTCCAACATGTCAAGTTTTTTATGGTGAAAGGATCATTGTTCATTTTAAATGTTTGTTCTTACATCTATCAGAATCCCACAATGTGAAGGGCCGATTTCTCAATAGCAAGCCACCCCCGGCTTAAGTATAACTCCTAGGTAAACATTACAACTGGACACGTTTACCCTGGAGGTGACTCGCTATTAAGAAACTTACCCTAATATTACTCTTAGCTCCGGTTTATTCACCTTCTGATAAACTGTTAACCTGAAATATCTATCAACTGTGATATTTGTTTTAAACAGAGACAAGATTTAAAGTTAACTCTATGATGGCATTGAAATTTCGAGCTTGTTAAACTATGTGGGATACGTCATGTTTCATTGAAAATAATTACTTTTCTAAAGTTTCCTTCACCGTACTATTGACGGTCGTTTGGTAAACTGTAATACTTTTCCGGATTCATTAAGAAAATACTTACTTACATATTATGTTTCTTATAAATTATGGCAATAAAAAAAATTGTATCTCAAATTTAATTAACTGATTGCATACCCAGAGAGTAGATTCTTGAGTCGTGTTTAACATTTAATGTTAGTTTAAACTTTAACGCTTTCCTGTTGGTTACACTTACTAATTAAGTCGATTTTAATTAGTTTAAACTTTAGCGCCTTTGCCTAATTAAAAGGAGTTTTCGCGTACGACGTTAAAAACTTTCCGTCCTTTTAACATATTATTAAATTCGTATAGGTTACATCACTTCAATTGCTCTTCAAATTTTCAATTACATATACAGGAAAATTACCGGAAAATGATCGGAAAATAAATGAGCCTAATGGTATTATATTGTCATACGTTGCAATACTTTCAAGTGGTTTAATAAT